CTTTTTCTTTTTTTTGTTTTTTCAAAAATAAACTCGCCCTTCGGGTTTTGTTTAAAATTGTTTTAATGCTAAACGACGGGTTTTAATTATATAACCCCCCCCCCCCCCCCCCCCCCATCAATTTACACAAACATTCCCCGCTATGAGATAGACGTGACACTACACTACACCACTATTCCAAGTCCACAGGATACCTCATCCTCAAATCCTTCCCAAACGCCCAAATGATCAACGAGACGCCCCCAAATCCAACTGACAAAAGTCCAAGGAGCGTGTTCCCCCATCCGTAGCCGAGATGCTCGTACATTTTGGGTCCGCTGAGAGGGAGCAGTCCGCCGGCTAGGCCTCGGAAGAGGCCGCTTGCTGCTAGAGCGCTGGCGGCGTAGATGGAGAATGCGTCGATAAGGTAGTTGTTTATGGCGCTCTATCCGTGCCACTTGGTCAGTGTGCTGGGCATTCAGGATATGGATAGCGGGCGTGGTAGGGGCGGGATGAGGGGTGGATTAACTTACATATGAGAGCACTAGGCCCACGCCAAAGATCCCGGTGCCGATTAGGGGGGCGATCCAGTGGGATTTGAAGTGTACTGTCCAGCCGTAGATGAGGAGGCCAGCGGGGAGGGCTACTGCTGCTGGGAGGAGGAAGAAGAGTCGGGATCTTAGTAGTATGGCATATACGTATTAGCAAAGGAATGGTACAAGTAGCTAGCACGAGGATTGATATAGGTACATACTCCGGCTGGTCAGAATCACCTGACTTTTCTTTCTTCCGCTGATAGATACGATCGCTATACCTGCCCGTTATGAAGACACCGATCAAGCAACCTATTCCAAGGCTGAGCGAGCATAGTCCCAGTGCACCTTCACTCCAATCGTATACATCTCGAAATACGAGGGGCATGGACGTGAGAAGGAGATAGCAGGTGCCGTACACGAACGCGAGGTAAAAAGATGCGATGATCAGGATAGGGCTGGTGGCTAGTAGAACCATTGGGCGTCGGAGAGCGCGTCTCAGCTTCTGGACGAGGGGGAGCTGGTGTGTCTTGCCTCGTGCCTGGAGCTCACTGTTGCCGGTTTCTCGGCGCAATCTTGCTGCTTTGCGCTGTAGCAGAATGGGGCTGAACGTCTCTCGCAAGAGACCGAAGCTAATAATGGTGGTCACGCCGCTCTGGTGTTTCATTCAGTCAGCACCTATTATGGCATATCCATCTCGCTGTAGTGGACATACCAAGATCGTTATCAACCAGAAAATCCACCGCCAGCCCATATCTGCGGCTAAAAAACCGCCTGCTATCGGGGCCAGTGCTGGAGAAAGAATCAAGGCTGCCCCAAATACGCTGTTGATTCTATCTAACTGTCAGCCTGGTCTGGGTTCCTCACTGCTAAGGGTACATTCATACAAGCCGCGTCGTTCCGGGGTGATCATGTCGGCAATCGTACCTCCGGCATTGCTGATTGGAATGCTCCCGGCCAATCCACCCAGAAATCGAAAGGCCAGCAGTGTCGAAGCGCTGGGCGAGAGCGCACATGCCACCGCGAAGACGGTGTACGAGACATTGCCAGCATGATAGATCCAAGAGCGTCCATACGTCTCGGACAACGGGGCAAGAACCAAAGGACCGACTGCAGTACCGATTATCTAGCAGAGTTGGTACGGGGCTTTGTATGGTAGGGGTCCTGGGCTGAGCTCACATAGATCGAGACGGTAAAGGTGATTAGAGTTGGGGAAGAATCTTTGAACTCGGCTTGAATCTGCACCAAGGCAGGAGACATCATCGAAGAAGCGAGCATTCTGGACAGAAATAATAATAAGCGAGAAGAATCATCCCGGGTCAAGGGATTCTTACGACGTGAATCGAGATGCGGTTACCAATGCAATCATGACGACTTTTCGGTATTTTGGCCAGTTCAGGGGCATCTCTGGGTCGTTTGGGCCCGTCCAATCCACCACATTTTCATCCTTTGTTGAACTCGAGGAACTGGCATCGCACCCATTGTTTTCATTGTTATCTTTGTTTCCGTGGTTGTTGAATGGCGTTGAGGTTATCTCTATGGTGGTTCCCTTGTCCTTCCCATCAGGCTCTGTCATCATGCAAGATGTACCGGAGTATTAGCAATGCTCACCTAGAGATGAATGGCCAATAGACTCACTAAAGCAAATCAAGATTCAGCGGGAGTGGTTGGAACTTGGCGCTTAAAATTCACACAAGACGACGGACAGTGCCGATTTCCGGTCGGCTACTTCCCTTGCATACAACTATTCTCTAATAGCCTGCAGGACTAATGCATATCCAGGGCCCACGATCTTCAACAGAAACTTCCTCATGAAGCTTACAGCGAGGGACATGTTCGATACAAGATCTCATTTCCATATTTGGTCTGACGAGTCATGCATTTCGTTTCATCTGGAACAGAGAATGATGCAATACAATGCCTTGGGCAATTGCCCGATCGCGCAGAATGAAGCCCTTCTAAAACTGTCGCACTAACTAGAGCCGAAGTCTCTTCGACTTCAAAAATAGGTAATCGGGCATAACCTCTCGCACACTTGTCTCCATTCTGCGGCCGACCACATCTCCGAATTCTTCCCGCCATTTGACTGACTCCTTGTCCAGATCAACATCGCCCACGACCTTCGAGGGATCAAGCTTCGTAGATTCATAGAGTGTTCCCCGAAACACCTGCCATGCTAGAGGTTCGTCGGTGCATTTCTTCTCCCAACTCAGGCGAATCCTAGAGCTGTCTAGGCCGGTGATATCGCAGAGTTTAATCAAGATCTCAGGCTGAGTTATGATATCATCCGCTTCAATCACCACAGGCCATGGTACCTGATCATGTTGAGAATTGGAAAAGTGTTGCGCATAGAAGTTGTACAATTTGCGTATCCATCGCAGGGCCATGGCTTTTTGAAAGAATTTCCGGCCATGGTCGGATTCGACAAACTCAGGGCCGTAGGCCTTGACCAACGCGCGATGAAATGACGGAAAAGCCGCCGCAGGATGTCTGATAAGAAATACAGGCTTCCATGTCTTCAGAAAGTCGTCTGGAAACAAGGTTTCGTTGAGATCTGAGCGACCGATATCCGTCTGTTCAAGCTCGTCGGGCCCACGCAGAGTCCAGGGCAATTCGTCGGTAACGCTGCCATCGCCATAGAGCAAGCGTGTTTCGGCAACTGGTTCTGTTATGTAGTGTGCGTGGTCCTTGAAGCAGATTATTTTCCCTTCCTGTTCGGCGTTTTTGAGATGTTGAAGCAGACGTTTGTAACCGTCTTTGATACACCTCACTTGTTCTTCTCTTTGGTCAGGTGGAAGGGCATGTACATGCGTCCCCATGTGGCCGCTCTCGAGTTTCAATGATAGGAGGGGAACGAAGAACCGCATCCCATTGATATCGGGCTCCTCCTGGCGCTGGACATTGGGTTGATCTTCTAGTGCGAGGAGCTGGGTGAGCAGATTTGATCCGGTTCGGTGATATGTAAAGATATAAACTCGTGCAGGAGGCTGATTTGAGTCCATTTTGTTCATTCTTACGGAATATTGAAGCGGGGTTTCTGTTCGTATAGAGTTAAAGCGATTCAAAGTGGTGTGTCTTTAGGAAAACAAGGGATGGTTGGTTGTTGTTGAACTGCTTTCATAGGAGGCTATATAATGGGCATCGGTGCTTGCAGCCATGACACTAGCGCTGATGACTGTATGAGTTAAGATAGCCATACCGATCCCCGCATGCTCCTACACCTTTTGGCCGCTGCTCCGTATTCCATACTTACCTTTGATATGAGAACTTTAACCTCACAGGGTCAGTTATTGCTACGAGATCTTATTTCTCGTACGTAAGGATGGTAGTGATAATCCGATTCCATTGCATATACCCACTCCACTATCGATTATCTGCAGCCAAGACCTATAAAACCACAACCGAGATGATCGACACGAACGGGGCTGAAAGCGACAGGTAGTATGCGTCTATTCTCCTTGCATATAAGAAGAGAAAATGAGTGGGCTTCTTGGGCATGGTGGGAAAAGGGGCAGCTTTGACCAACAGTTCTATTCGATTATTTAAACTAGAGGCCAAACAAGAGTAACTAGTAGATGCCCAAGACACCGAGATGTGTAGAAGAAGGAAACATGAGGCCCATGAGGCAATTCCAGATTCACGATCTGATGAATTTCACCTTGCCAAAAGCAATAGCGTAGCTTGAAGGAATAAATTGCGGAAAGAATCCCACGCTATCCATGAACATCACCACAATCGGCTTGAATACGTTGCAACTGGAAATCCCGAATGTTCCACCATCGATAGCGCGGCGAGACAACCGAGCAGGGTGGGGTTAGAAAACAGAATATTCTGTCTGGCCCAATGAAGATCTTTGCGGCGACAAAAGACCGTCGACAAGTGCAGATCGAGCAGAAGATGGCTGGCCAATATTAAACCGAGATATGTCGAGGGCGCTACAGTGAGTCTTGGAGTTTGGATCATCTGCCGAAAACCCCATTCGAAGCAGATACTCGCGTGTAGAAAAGGCGCAATGAGCATGTTATATCGGGGTGTCTTTCCAATTTTCATCAAATAATGGAGAAAAGGCTTTGCAGAACTATCTGCTAAAATTCGGAGGGTCAAGTTGCAGGATTGTTATTGCGTAAACTTACCTCACCGGCAATCTGAACCACTGGAATCACTGGAATCAATGGATACCAATGAGATGGGAGGAGTCTGATCATGTACAGGTACACCAGTAAATTCGTAAATGCCGCAATCCAACAGCGTGTCCAAGATAATTCGGCCAAGCTTATGCTCCTGGCAAACTCGGATAGAGAGCTGTGTCTGGCACTGATGCGCCGATCGAAAAGAGTATGCAGTCGATCCGTGATAATAAAAAAAGATGCAAACCACACGTGCAGGTGATGACCCCGAGGCCCCAGGTCCTAGGTGCCTTGTAATGTATGAGGAAGGGAACCGAGACGGAAATTAACATTGCCAGCATTAGTAAACGCAGGCTAACAAAGTAATGAAATTGCTTTATAAGAGAACGATTGAAGTTAAAGACGACAAATGTCGCATGCATCGAGCGCACAGCCAGTGACAAGAGCCAAGAAGATATCGATATAATGTGAGCTCCCTAGATTTTTCTTGATAGGATAGAATAAGTTAGCAATTGTTTGTCCAGAGCATCGATTTGATTAATATTTGGTACCTGGGCAATTCGGGATAGAGCTGTTGTAGAGGTATCTCGGTCTGCCAATAGGCCAGCACTCCAAGAGAAACATAGCATCCATAAGAAACAGGAGATCTGACCACATAGTATCAGCAGCCAGAATTTGAGGATTCGCCGATCACCGATGTCAAAACACATCAAGACATCTTTGATCGGTAGGTTCTCCGAGGTGCTGTGGACTTGGTCAGCTCACCTGTACGCACCTAGTTAACTGGACAAATATTATAATGATACCTTCTCCTTGGGGCCATATATTCACTTTTTCTTTTTTATGACAAGGAACTAGAAATGTAGAGAATGCTATAGAATGGAGGAACGCATTATAAGATAACGATGAAAAGACTAGGCTCTTATGTCTCGCCGACAAAAATATGTGCCTGCCACTTAACCCTATCGGCTGAATTGCATTAAATGTTTAAATGCAATAGACCAAATCAATATTGCACCTCCTGTATTTTTGCAGATAACTACACCCTCCGGCCACAATTTTGCAAAGTTTCCGAAGAGCCAAAGCGATCAAACATTAGCATTCATGCAGCCCACGGTCTGTATTCGGATTACTGAGCACCTAGAGTTGAACTGATCTCTATATTGTTCAGCTGTTTCTTACTGCATAAGAGACGTGTGTCAGTCAGATCTTTAATATTTGAAAGAGGCTTGTGCATCAGAAAAATTTGCGAATTCTTCGACAGAGCATGTTTGAAGAAAGAGAGCATAAAATTCTGCGGAAAGTCCATATCACATCAGATCTACACCCTCTGAGCTGCATATTTTCGATTTACCTAATTTACTATGTAGCCATTCGCAATAGTCTGAGGGTGAATAGTCCGTATTCCAATTACTACCTCCTATATAGTCATTCTGATTTTCATAGGTATACGGTGTTTAGTACTGTATAGATAACAAATTACAGTCGGCTTCAGAATGTATTAGAAATGGCTCTTCCACCATGTAACTAGAAAAGCCCGGAACATGCAAGCCGGAGGGAGCATCAAGTTGCACCACCGATTTATTTCAATGGATCCTTTGAATACTCAAACTTAACGTGATACTATCACTCAACCCCTGAGAAACTCGCTCAAGCAGCTCTGCGACAACCATTTTACATCTCTCTGAGCAGCCCCAACCAGGAAATCCCTCGCATGTCTATGTAATTCGCGTGTTCGTGCTTCAGACTTTTCTCCAATAATAACATCGAACTTTCCCCAAATCACAAGATAGACGGGGATTAGACCGGCCAATCGAAAAATTAAATGTTCGCTCAGCTGGCCATATCCGCGGATGAACCCACGCAGTATAAACTCTGCGGATGGAGTATCCTCAAGCATCCATTGGGTGTAGAGACACGCGATCATAGATGCCAGGTCCTCCGCAACACAACCATAGCGGCAGAGTTCCCAGTCAACGAGAACAAGGTTGATATCATTCTTTTTGTTGTTTTCTTGATGTGACTGGAGAAGGAAACTTCACTCATACAATGAATTCGTCAGTTGCAAGCGGCCATTAGGAAGAGTGAGCATGACATACTTTCTAGTGCTAAAGTCGCCATGAAGGATAGAGCGTCGGTCGTTGTGGTTCTGCGAAAAGAGTTTCGAGACACTTTCTTTTGCGAGTAGGTCATCATGAAATGCGTCCATCATGAAATGTAAGTGTAAACCCCCCATGCTCAGAGCGGCTGTGTTCTCTCGTATTGTCGCCATTACGTCTTCATCAACGTGACTCCAGTCCCGGGAGTGAAACTCGCCAAGCCATAGCCCAAGGCTTTCACCAATGCATATTGCTGTGGATTGGGAAGTGGTTTTATCAAGATAAAGGTTGTCTCGAAGTGTCCCTACATTGGGGATATCCTCCATAACCTGGATATTTGCGTGCGTATCGAGATAGAGGGGGTGTGGGGACCGGATTGAAACATGTTCATGCTTGAATAAAATGCCACGCATAACCTCGAGAGATACAGCTTCCCCAGCCTAGTAAATAGCAGTTAGTCTCTAAAGTATCAGTTCCAATGGGAAAGGCAGAGATGTACACAGCGAATTACTGGCAAATCAAGAACTCCCGTCTTTTCACATGACAGAGAATGCTTAATGATGACACTTTTCCGGTTATCTTGCAGGGGCAGATAAAGACTTCCTCGAAAGGTAAAGTTGGCTATTCCACCACTCAATTGTTCCAATGATAGACATTTGTAGGGGGTTTGAGATAGGGACTCAATGACCTGAGATTCAAGATCTGGTCTTTGCTCAATAAGATGATCTGCGGGGGCGATATCTTCTCTGATAGCCATTGAAGTCATTTTCGAGGAAGAAGACACAAGATGAGAGGGAAAAGATTTTCAGGGAACTGAATGGTAATATAAAGAAGGAAATGTACTTTTCAACTGTAACTAGAATTTGTTTGCGCCTTTGCTCTTCAACCGGAGACACAAGTAAATATTTGACTTCCTTCCACATTAAATAGCACCAGGAGCTATTTTAATCAACTATTAAATACCTTAGTAACTTAGCACTTTGACATGGACACGTATAGTATTGTTAAAGTGAAAAGCCACAACCGTAAATGATAAGTTAAATTGGGAATAGCCCTATAAGGAACATGCAACGCACATGTCATTTTGCATGCAAGGTGTGCTCCTATTATCCTTTTTCGGCGGGAATATACATATCACTTCGTGCAAAATTGTTAACTCCGTAAGTAATGTGGCTAAGAAATAAATTAAGTTACCTAAACCATTGAATATTTAACTAACCCAACTGTCCCTGGCCACCGATCTCCGAAATTCCCGAATTGCCAAGAGCAAGCCACAGCCCGTATCCAAATTACTGAACACTTAGAGTCGATCATGATCTCTATGATGTTTATATGTTTCTTAATATATTAATAACAAATTTTCAATAATTGCAACTAGCGCGTGTTTTCGGGAATTTCGGAGATCGGTGGCCAGGGACAGTAGTCCCTTAAGAAAGGGAGCAACTAGCAAGGCCGAGTCCTCACATTTTGGGCCCACCATAGATTACTCAAAGACTACCCAAAAAATCCAAAGCACGTGGATTAATTTATGCATAATTCTGATTGGGTTGTACCTAACTTTCTGAATATGTCTGCCGATCTAATTCAATAAACTAAAATACACCTGCATCAAAGATACTAAAAATCCCTCATATCCTACCCGGAATGATATGTATGAATATGTACCTATCCAAATGGGTGGGTATAAAGTATAATTCTGTCAAGATGTGCTCCTTAGGAAGACTTTTTTTCACCCATGCAAGGCTTTGGGGGATAACCACTAAAAAAAGGAAAAATAAAGAAACGACACGCTGCTGTGGCAGCTGGTACAATGTGATATATGGACTAATCTTTTCACCAATTCATTTCCTAAAAGACCACTTCTTTCCTTATCCTTCCGTAGACAATCCAAACTGTATGTACAAATCCTGATCGGTCTATCTATCTACTCTACTCCGTAATCATTTACTTCTTCTTACAGTACCTGCTCTACTCCGTACCATCCAGCCGATCCGCCTTTCCGGCGGTAAAACTACATACGTAGTGTTCTAGAAAGCAGACCGAGCAACGTAGGCAGGGGTAATTGGGTTGTTACTATGAATGAAGCAGCTGCTCGTCATTTTCTTGGCAAATAAATAATCGATACTCTCTCTCTCCCTCTCTCCTCTCGCTGTCTCTTTCACTACCCGCCTACATCGCGAAAAAATTTCAAAGCAAAAAAGAACAGCCCAACGCGGGGCTCGAACCCGCAGCCTTGTGATTAAGAGTCACACGCTCTACCGATTGAGCTAGCCAGGCGCTGTTGTTAAAAAACGTTTTGAAGTAGTGCTCTATAGACCAAAACCAAAAATCTACTTGATCCTGCCCTTGCTACTAGCGTACATGGAAGAGAACCAATTTAAATTAGCAAGTGACTTCTAATTTATTTGAACCTCAATTTTCAAACTTTTCAAATTGGAGTGGTTATATGTGATGAGCCTTCTATCGAGTCCTGTTTGGAAAATGCTGTAATGTGGATGAGCCGAGTTATATATCCGCATACCGTATCCTTCAATGGCTCACTCCAACTCACTTTCATGCCTCTCTGCCGTAGCCAAAATCAGCTTCTTATAACCTCTAACAGCCTCCTCAATCTCGCCCACAGTAATTGCCTCATGGTTACTATGCGGCACATAGAAACTTCCAGGCCCATACAAATACCTCTTCACTCTTCCCCCATCCTCTCGTTCATGTACCTCCAGCGCAGGCACATCCGTTCCATAATTGACGGTAATCACATCAAACCCATCGACATCGGCATCGAGATGCTGCGGTGCAAACCCTGCCTTATAAAAGTCCGCGTAAACACTCCCATCCCCGCCCGTAACATCCTCCACGGCCTTCTCGATAATCCGTCTCGTGTCGTCAGGTGTGCCAGCTGCTAGACGGATTGCGATGCCTGCCTCTGCAGACGCAGGAACAACGTTATGCGCGACCCCGCCGATCACAGTCCCGATGTTCAGGGTTGAGTTACCGAGAATGTCGCTGCGCAGGAGCCCGCCTTCCTCGGACGGAGTCGTCTGCAATGTATCCAGGTGCGACAGAACAGGCAGAATAGCTGATATCGCGCTCTTTCCGAGCCACGGGTATCCTGAGTGCGCGGCCTTACCGGTCGCGACGAGTCGGAATCCCAGCGCGCCTTTGTGGCCCGCGATGAGGGAGAGATTGGTCGGTTCGCCGAAGATGATGGCGTGGAAGGAAGACGGAGAGGGGTTGAGATCAGAGCTCGAGAACGTTTTCATGCCAACACCACTGTTCTCTTCGCCGACGTCGAGGAGAAGACCGAGTGAGGTGGATGGCTTCTCGGCGAGGGTTTCGAGCGCGGCGAAGACAATGGCCGCGACGCTAGCTTTGGCGTCGACGGAGCCGCGGCCCGCGATGAGGAGATCTTCTCGCGCGAAAGATGTCGAGGCTGGGTTTGACTTCGAGTTGGTGGGTGCGTGGAGAGAGTAAGGGATGAAGGGCGGGACCGTGTCGATGTGGCTGGTTAGGATGATATCCGGGTGTCGGTCCTCCCCAGTGTAGGCGTAGATATTGAAGCGCTCGGGTGTGGTGTCAGATTGTGGTTCGACGATCTGTTTCTCGACGGTGAAGTTGCGCGAGGCGAGGAAGTCGATAATGAAGGAACCGACGTTCTTCTCGTTGCCACTGATAGATTCGATCTTGGTGATATCACGATGAAAAGAGAGAAGAGGGGACGAGTCAATGATATGGGCTAGGTCGTTGGAGGACGGTTTCTTGATGTCGAGGCTGTTTTGAGGGGTGGCGATGCCATTTCCACTGAGGAAATGTTGTAGCGGAGATGGAATTGATAACGCCGTTGTGAGGGCAGCGAAGCTGAGTACTAGGTATGGTGTTTTCATTGCTGTTAGGGCCGTCGTTATCAGATCTGTCATGCAAGTGGACGGGAGTGGGGGTAAGGTTGGTGAGAGGCAACCTTAGTTTTATAAGGCTATCCTAACCCTAAATTGCCAATCGGTTTCCATGATGGCGTTATGCAGCTTAGTCCTTATCACGTCAATCTGCTTCATAATTCATGTGCATATCCACCCATTCCTAGTCACCATTCTGTCTTAACTATATATTGACATTTGAATTAGCTAATGGTGAATTATTTTGCTTTGCTGAGTAACTGCACATAAGAAATTACTCACAATTTGTTTTCATGTTTGACGTAGCACATATACTAAATAATAACCGAGCTTGTTCCGAACATTGTCATGCGATAATATGGCCTATCCTTTTATAGTTCTAAAGCACAAATCAGCTGTATATTATTAGAAAAGAATTATTTTTCTCGTATAATCGGACTTATACCCATTCCATATAAGTATCCCATCCAACACAATATCCTGGTAGTGATGGGAATGAGGCTTGTAAAGGTAATTCATGATTCATAGCTATTAGCTGAGGGGAGAAAAATTACATTGTATGATCTGAGCCAGATTAGAGTTTCCAGCAGGTGGCTGAAGTAGTAAATAGTATTTAATCGAATTGAATGTAAGTAACTATGACACATATGATATAACAAAATGGATTTATAAAAGGTAATAGCGGTAATTACATAAAGGAAAAAACCCAGGTCCAGCATTTCTGTGGGCTATTCAGAGCCACTAGCTGTTTCTCATGCATCCAGAAATAGCCTCTACATCTTATGATCGCGAACACTTTGCACCTCAACTCTACACCTAGTAGGCATCTTTCTTATTGTTATTAAGAGCTGACTATCCTAGATTCTGTTGGTCCTTACCTTGTACTGGCATGTTTTTTCGATAAGACAGCGTATGCAATATTTTTTATAGTTTTTATCACAAAGTGCAGCAATGTGCTCTATGCCTTTCTTAAGGAGTCTGTAACATCCACAACATATTGATAACCACCGCGGTGGCATATCCGAGCGCCCTAGTCTCTCAGAGGTGGAATTTTCGCGGGTTGCTGGTTAAGATGTAAGCATTAAAGTTAGATTGGGATAAGTAGGGTACTGTACTCATGCTTTCTGCTAATAGTTTCAAATATTATGCAACATAGAAATTTTAGTTGCTCTTTGAATACTGCTAGAGGAATAATTATAAACTAAATGATTATAGAGACAAGAATAAAGTGAAACGCATCCATGATATAGAGCTTGATAAGACATGTTTAGGCACCTTCGTCTTTATGTTAATTATGTCTCCAAAAGTATATATATGACTGTATGTATGTATTATGTTGGCCGTCTCTCTAGGCGTAATTGCTAGTAATGTACCCGTAGGAATATCGAATGATGAAGGTCTGATTCTT